TTTCTATGTGTTCAGGTTCAGCCACAGAAACCCATTTGGCTGATGGTGATCCTCTCAATCTCTTACTCTCTGGAAACAAATATTGTGGGGGGAAGACACCCCTAACACCCCTTGGGGTTTGTGTTCTGTTAAGATACATCCTGTTGTGCCTTAAAATGGTTTCTAGTAGACAGCACAGTGGAGTTGCCATGGTAACAGCTACACAGTACTTCACAAGGGCCCTCCCTCTAGTAAGGGGGAAAATCCAATATTAGAAATTATGTGCGGTCCGGACATTTCCCCCCCATAAATAAATACATGGGTAAAGCCAAGTTTCTGCCTGGTAGCATATAAGAAAGTGTCTGTCTGAGCATGGCATTAGTGTGGTCTTTCTGAACAGTGTGTTCCTCGGGGAGATTTAACACCTTCCTCCTCCTACTTGTGCTTGCAAACATGTATGGACCCAGGTTGTTGGGGCAATAGGCTGACTGTGTAAACCACTTAGAAAGAGCTGCAAAACACTACAAGTCTAAGTTCTGTTCTATTCTTATTCCAGTTCCAATTCCTATTCTACTTCTCTTCTCTTCTGTCCTCTCCTCTTCTCTACTCTATTCAATCCCATCCCATGATCTCATTCGCTTCCATTCTAAGCCCTTGGAAGAAAAGGCATCCCCGATCAGCCTCCTTTTAGGTCCCTTCCCATGAGAAATATCAATTTCCAAATTTTAATCAAAAGGGAGGGAAACAATGCTAAGATGTTACTGGGAGCTTCATTCCAACCTTTATGAAGATTGAAAATTTATTCCTGTTTATTCCAAGATGAAGCAGGACAAGGTCCTTATATTTAGCAAGGCTGAGAGAAGAACTGAGTCTGCACTTTAAGTATTAACTGTGTCAGAATTTCCCAGCCCAGACTGATGGTTGACTAAGGGGAGGAAGTAAGTCTTTGCAAGTAAGCACAAGGGGAGGTTTTTGTCTCACTTCTGCATATGAATTTATCACTGTGAAACCTCCAGTTGCCGACACCGCCGTAAGCACCACCACAATAGTAATCAGCCTCATCCTCAGCCTGGAGGTTTGAAATGGATAAATAGGCTGCATTGGCCGAGGTGTCCTTGGATCCTGTGAACCGGCCGTTCGTGCCAGTATTATAGAGAAGGTATTTGGGTCTCTCTCCACCCTTCTGTTGGTACCAAAATATGGTATAGCCGCCCACTTGGCTGTCTCGGCTCATGGTACATGAGATCTTTGCAGCTTGTCTCATAGGAAACGATTGTGCCGCAGGTTGAGTCAAGGTATACTCTGAATTGGCCCCTGAAAATAAAAAAAGGGAAGAAAATTAAGGTGGACACTCTATAGATCCGCTCTTGGAGTATCTTTGGAAGAGCTGCTCTGATTGAAATCCAGACATCACCGAATTTAAATTCGTTGGAAGGAATAGAAAGGGTGGCTTTCATATCAGGCTCAAACCACAGTTCCACCCTGAAACTGATGCTTTCCAAACCAAATCAGATGAACTCAGCGGTGAGAATTCTTGCTAAATTACCTGGGCACCATAAGAAGAAGAAGGCCAAGAGCAGAGACCAGGCCATGATGAAGAGCTGATGTTTTTGGGAAACTCAGATTGGGAGACTGCTATAGTCCCTTTAAACCCCCAAGAATTTATGTCCTCCCCCGTTATGCAAATTCAGCTTGCGTCTCATTAGCTGGGTTTGGATAAGAAGAATTGCACTGGAAGGCAAGAGATAGTTTCCTCCTTCTTTTTCACCACTTACTTCATTCATCTCACTTGGATACTAGAAACACTTGAGAGGTCATGTTACAGTAACATGGTTGATCTAAGGTCACGCTTGGGACAGAGGTGCAAATTAAGCACCCCAAATAAAAATTGGCTCAGAAATCTATAAAAAATATTTCTTCCTGCAACATGTCAATCTACTGTCGGTGTTTCCTTTCCCAAGGTTAGTCTTCACACTTTGTTGGTTACATTCCTCCCTTTTGATGGAAGATTCCCTTTTGTCCTATTTAGCACAAGATTATGGTATATTTGTTGCGTTCGTGAATCATCTCTTCAGCAAAGAAATTGGTGGAAGAGAAAGTCCATAATCCCTCAGAATTTAGGATTTATGCAAAAGCACATTCAAAACTGAGAACCCTGTTGCACAAATTCAGCACATTTCCTGCCTTGATACGTCCATAATCCTTTCAACCAGGATTAAGTTCAGGAAATCGGTTTAATTCTGACATTGTCTCTCCTGTGAAAATATTTTAACTATGTAGAAAGAGCTCCACCCCATGGTCACAGCTCTATTGAGACAGCTTGCTTTGTCTTTTCTAATATGGTTTTCAAAAGGAGAAGGAGGTATTTTTTATGAATTCAGGAAAATCTGCCTCTGCAACCACATCCCACATGGTTAACCATGGGTGGAGGTTAAGATCATAGATTAGGAATGAGGAGATTCCTAGAAGGAGAAGTTCCACGAGGAGGAGCTCCAGCATGAGTCAGAAAGCTTGGAAGACAAAAGCTCTGATCCCAGGACTGTCTTAACAGCATTATGGGCCCTGGGAAAATGAGTGGATTGATGCACCTATGACAGCTACACACAGGAATAAAAATGCAAATGGTCGAGAAAATTAAACATGTATTTGTTGTATTGGCACTTCCCAAAAAATCGGTGTTGAAATATTCAAAACATGCTGTGCAGCAACAACTAATCAACATGATGAATGTTTGAACAATACACGGAGCTTGAATAACACAATAATGCTCAGTAAGCCACACAGTTGCATTTTTATTC